CCGTTACCCTGCGGGAGAATATTTCCCATGGCATCCTTTTTAGATTTACACTCATTAGCCCAATGATTGCCTCTTTTGCATCTGGGACACAATCTAGGCCCATTTTCTTTCCCTGCATTGTTTGAATTGGCTGGAGGAGTCTTATTGGGACATTGCCACACCTGATGGCCTATTTGACCACATCTAAAACAACTCCCTGGCTGACCCGGAACCCTGCCTTTGGGATTCCTCTTTTGTTGTTGGAACAACACTTCTTTATAGGTTTTTCCTTGCAAAGCCGCTGCCATGGCAAGGCCCTGAGTATAAGCAGGCCCAATGTCAGCACACATTCTAATATAGTCTGAAATGATGCCTTTCTTTCTAAGTGGTCTTAGGGCTGCCTGACAGGTGGTATTGGCATTTTCATAAGCCAGTTGTTTGACCAGTAACAATCCTGCATTGGAATCTCCCAGCAATCTACTGGCAGTCGGCATTAACCTGGCTACAAAGTCTTGAAAGGCTCATCAGGTCCCTACCTAATTTTGGATAAATCTTCTATTTGCCTACCTGTACAAGGCAGCTTCTGCCATACCCGCTTGGCAGCGGTATTGACCTGTGCATATACTCCTGCAGGAAACAATAATTGATTGGCGAGGCCCGCATATCGCCCTTCTCCTGCCAGCATGTCATAATCAATATTTCTATTAGCCCGATTTAATTCAGCTGTTCTTTGACACTGCTCAGAAAATTCTGTTTTCCAAAGGAGGTAATCTCCCCCAGACAGGCATGCCTTAGCAAGCTGTTTCCAATCTCTGGGAGGCAGCGCCTCCATGCTCAACGATTCTAACATAGCCTGAGTAAAAGGTGTGGTAGGGCCATATTGTGCACATGACATTTTTAACTCTTTGAGTTGCTTAAAAGGTATTGGCCGATGGATTCTGACCATATTCCCTTGAGCGTCAGCTTCCTCAAATACTGGACAAGCTAAATGAAAGCCCTGGGTATCTTCCCCTCTGTCAACCACATGTTGCAGGGTAGCTTGTAATGGTGACAGAGACCAAGAATTGACAGACAAAGGCCTGGGTCCTGGGGGATGTTTGATCATGGCTATAAGAGGGTCAATTTTTTTTATTAATCTTGGACCTGCAACCGGCAGGGGATCAAGACCAGGAATTATGCTAGGAACTATTCCTCCCTTGCCCTGAGTCTTCTGGTCTTCCTCTTCCACCATTAAGCCTGTCTGCCACTGCTGACAAAGAGACTCCAATCTCTTTTCCAATCTAGTAATCCTTTTGGTCACATCCTCATTCGCTGGCTGTCTGGATTTTTCGGTTTTCCTGGCCACGGCTATGATAGGGAGGGGGGGCAGTCCTCATTGTTATACCTAGCAGCCTCTTCTTCCAAATCATCAGCATCTCCCGGGTTTAGGGGTCCCTCATCCGGAAAAAAACCCTTCCTTAGTGCAGGCTCTGCATCAGCATATACTGGTGGAGCAGATGGCTTAGTTTCACTTTCTATAGGAGGTGGAGGGACAACCTCGGGAACACCAGCCTTGTCAGGCTCCTCCGAGGAAGGACTTGAGGAGGGTCCTTCAACCCTCTCTCCCTCATGCTGAGGATCCAAACTATCTCTAATTAAAGCCCATAAACTAAAAGCATCTATAGGGATTTTAGTGGGTCCATGACCATCGTAATAGTCCTGAAATTGCTTTCCCATCTTATTCCATACTTCTAAATCTACTGTGCCTTCTTCAGAGAACCAAGGACAAACTTTCTCTACAAATTCTAAAAAATTACATAATTGTTGATGCCCTACCTTTGCTCCACGAGCGCGAAGCATATTTTTAAGCATATGTTCAAAAAGCAGCCAGCTACTACCAATACCCATCTTGTTACTCCCGAGTGCATTCACCACCCTTAATTTACTTATCCGAGCTCACGATCTGCGGTGTCCTTCATTATGGTCCCCCGTATTCAGGTCCCTGTTCGGGCGCCACTCGTGACGGAGCCAGCCGTCACTTGTCGAACAGCACCTGAATGGGGAAGTGAGGATGAAGAAAAAGAAAGACGCAGAGGTAGAGTTGGGAGGGCTCCCAGAGAGACTGCCACCACCGCTTCTTTTTTATTCTCCTCCCCTTTTTATCACAGGTGAGTTTGGTTATCAATCATGACCCTTATCCAAAGACACCTGCTTCCTTGTTCTCTAGTTCTTTGGAAATTCCCCACCCTCTTGGGCTTTCTTGTTTCTCGGGTTTACAAAACATTCATCATATTCCAGGACAATTTCTTAAGGTAAACATCTAATTTGGCAAGGACGCGGTTCCTCGTAACATAGTCTCCTTGCTCTATACAATGGAGGGTAAGATTTAATAGGGAGCCTCTATGGCTACCACCGCTCTCCACACCTAACCTCCTGCAGTTTTATCAGAGCCCAGCTGACCTGGAAGAAGGAAAAAACCAGATTCCAGCCAAATCTAGCCATCCTGTCTTACATAAAGTGGAAGAAAGAACTGAGGAGCAGTTGTGACATTCAGTCCAGAGACAGACCCCGCTAAAAGACTAGGATTAATAAATGGCAGGATTGTAGAACACCTCCCCAAAGCTTTCTTTTGATCTGTTCTATAAAATACCAGATAAAGTTGTCTGATTCTCCCACCACCTATCTTTTTCCATCCACATCTCTCCTTATACATGTTTGCCCTGCCAGAGAAGACAGCTGGAGAAATACTTCAAATAGTGAGAAGCAAATATGGCATGACCAAGCTCTCTCCTCTATCATTGGCAGTTGCTATTCACAGCATTTAATACATACATTGCCTGTGGAACTGCATCACACATACAGAAACACACACTCTCTGGGATCTGCCTCAGTACAAGAGAAAGGGCTAATACACCCCATCAACTCTATGGATGAAACTATAGCAGTCACATTTCTATAAGACATCACAGATTACTGAACTTGTAATGTTTATCTAGGAAACATGTAACTAAATCTCTGCTTTTTAATAAGGACTGGAATAAAAATTGTTTACAAATTACTTGAATGAGTATGATATCAGTTACACCTTTTATCTCTAGTCCCTCTTTGCTGCACCATCTCTTAGAAACATTTCACCTGGTGGTCTACCTTATTGATCTTTAATGTAAGTTTTGTAAGATATTCCTTTAATCTTGAAAGCTATTCCTTGCTCTGTTGGTATCTCAGTTTGGGTCTTTATGTGTTGAAAGGTTTTTGGTCCTTTGGGTCTTTGTCAAGGCCTCAGTTTTAAAGTGGAAACCAGTAAAATTGTCAATACCAGAGAAAAACATAGCTAAAATTTATTGGTCCCATGAGTGATGAGCTATGTAACTTTGGGATCTGTTTCTCAACAAGAATATAAGTGTCTTTGGGTATTTATCTGGAAAATCCAAAGAAATAAAGCACATTCTGGAAATATTTCTATTGATACCTATTTATAGCCCCATGGCACACTAATCTCAGGGACCTAACATTAGAAAAGCTTGAAAAAAATAAATACATTTTGTTGTCTCAATGACTATTATTTTCTTTCTCAAAATGTGATTAAATGGCATTGACATGGCCAGTCTATATTTTTATATGAGAGATGCATGGCCTTAACCTTAAATCCAGAATCCAAATGATATTTTTATGGCTTCTTCACTGTGTCCCACTGAGTCATTTTGTAAATAGACTGAATCATTATATAATCAAATGACTATTTATCTACCTAGTTCATCTATTTTTCTCATTGACAGGCTATGCCAGCCACATTGTATGTAACTCTGACCATTTTTCTGATTAGAAAATTTCTGTTAGCTGACATTCTTTCATATACAAATTTCTCTTAATGAATTATTATCATCCATAAACCAAGCTCCATTATTTTTTTTCTTTTCTGAATATAGAGATTCATACAGTGGATCATGAGCCTTCAATGTTAGAGATAAATCACCGTATGGGGACAGTTTTGGCTCTAAAAAGGTGCCATTCTCTTGTTTACAGATTCTATGGTCTTGAACTATGGTACTTGCCTTTACAGACAGGTATATTCCTTATAGTTTTCTCATCCAAAGGGCTTGCTTCGAGGAGTGTGATTAGCTGACAGTCTCCACCTGCAGCACCTTCAGAATTGGCCACAGCATTCCAGACAAGCTCACACTTCCTGGGAGTGTTCACTCAGTGACTAAGCATGAGGGCTGTACTAGGCTGTTTTGGGCAGCACACACATTTCTTAACAAGAAAGATCTGCATGAAGAATTTTTGTGCCACAGCTCCCCCTTGTGCAGGTGGGTGGAGATTTACTCAGCTGCTTTGTAGCCCAAGCCTCTTTATATTGACTCTTCTGTCTGTGCCCTCCACTCCTTTCACAGGTGTTAGATATGCTTTGTAATTGGAAGTGTTTCTTACCTACTCTGGCCTTACCTCTACCCTTTATTATGTGTGTGTGTGTACCAATAAAATTTTACTTACAGGCCACTGCAATTTGAATTTTATATAATTTTCATGTGCAACAAAATATGCTGTTATTTTTTTTACAGAACTTATCTATTTTAGAACATATTTAAATTTACAGAAAACTTATGTAGATACTACAGTTTCCATATAACTCACATCCACTTTCTCTATTACTAACATCTACAGCTTATTTTTCACAATTAATGAACCAATATTGATATCATTAAGTAAAGCCTATACTTTACTCATTTTTTTGTTTTTACCTAATATTCTTTTCTGTTCCAGGATTCTATTCAGTGAGTTCAGTAGTTGAGTTTCTACACTAAGATTCCTATTTGTGATGTTCTCTCAGACTTTCTTTTTTATGTTCTTGACAGCATTGAGTACTGGTTAATATTTTATGAAATCCTCTAGAAATTTTTTTGATGCTTTTCTCCTGGTTAGGCTGGGATTATATGTTCTTGGGAAGAAGATCACAGAGGTAAAGTGCTGTTTTTTATCATACCAAATCAAGAACATATTTTATTAACCTGACATACCACTGTTGTTATTGACATTTATCACCTGGCTGATGTAGTGTCTGTCAGTTTTCTCCACTGTAAAGTTACTCTCTCCTATTTCTCATACTGTGTTATTTGAAGCCAATAAATCTCTTGCACTTACAACTCAGCCTTGACATTGCCTTCAGGAGCATCTGAACCAGCAGTTAGTTTTAGTAGTGATAAAGAAAGTAAGAAGTGGAGCCCGGCATGGTGGGACATGCCTGTAATCCCAGCACTCAGGAGGCTGAGGCAGGAAGATCACCTTGAGTTTGAGGCCAGCCTGTGGCACATAGTGAGTTCAAGTCCACCCTGAACTACATAGATAGACGCTGTTTCAAAAAAAAAAAGTAAGAAGAAATCACAGTTGCTTTCTTATTTACTGGACGAAGCCTGTTGTCAAATCAGAAACTCACTGACCAAAGAGTATCCTGAGTTCCCAGGGGAAAGCCACTAGTATATCCTCACAAGTATGTACTTTAAAGATTTGCCTAGTCCTTTCCCAAAGGGATCTATGATGTTTACTTGAGTAAATATGTACTTACAAAGAGGAATGTCCACCTAGTTTGAAGACTACTGAACATAGGATCTGAATTGACATTGATATGTAGAAAACAAAAACATCATCATGGGCCGCTGTTAGAGGCAGCCACATGGGGTCATCTAAAAGGATACTAGCCAAAGAGTGGTTTACAGTCAATCTACCTGGTCTGCTGACACACTGCATGGCCATTTCTCTGGTCCTGAACATGCAATTGTGATTAAGACACTTGTGAGTAATTTCCATGTTGGGTCCTTGGCTGCTGTGGAGGAAGACCAAGTGGAAGCCTCTGATACTACCAACCTAAAATAGAAAATTAAAACCAGTATTTTACCCTGGGGATAGTGCAAAGATAGTTTACTTTAAAAGATCTTAAAAATGAAGGAATGGTAGTTCTTCCATTCATACATATTTTTAATGGACTTCTCTGATTTCTATAGAAGCCAGATAGATCCTGGAGAACACCCATGGATTACCACAAAGTACAACAAGTAATTAAAAAAATCTAGATTCCATGCTAGATACTGTATTTGCACAGATTCATAAGGCCTCAGATATATTATACACAGCTATTACTTTGGCAAATATATTCTTTTTTATCCCAATTGGTCAAAAGGATTTTACATATATATGGGAGGGATACACTTTCTCCCTAGAACTATGTTAATCATCTTAGCCTTTATAAAAATGCATTGAGAAGAGTTCTGCACTGTCTGGAATCCTGTACAACTTCAATTGATCTATTATATCAATCACATTATGCTGACCTGTCCAGAGGAACATGATGTGGCTAACATGCTGAGCTTTAGTAAGATGTATGTACTCTAAAAGGACTTGCAACTTCAGTAAGAATTTTAGGTAGAGAGCTAGAAGAAGAAAGATTCCAAAATACTTCAACAATAAAAGACTGCTGCATTATTATTCCCTACTGAAGCAAAAGAGGCACAGCACCTAATTGGATACAAAGGGACCATGTGTCCAGAACCCCCTGTCATGTACTATGTGTTTACAGACCCACTAAGTCACAAAGTTAGCAGGGCCAACTACAATATATATGTAAAATGTAGAAGATACATCTAGAATCAAACCTAAGGAGGCCCTGAGCAGATATTCTAGACTTCTATGTCACCCAAAACAGTTGCACCAGTGTGTGCTCTCAGTTCACCATATATAGAAGGGTTCCTGAGCCATCAGATAAAGGAAAGAAGTTAAATCTTGCTTCATCAATTGATTGGCTTGATAGGTAGATAAAAGGTAAAAAATGGACACTAATTCTGGGTATGTATTTGACTTTCCTGCCCTCAGATTCTCACCCCAAACCACAGTGCCTGATGCACAGGAGAATATCACAAAGGTATAACCAGTCAGAGGTTGTCCTTCATAGTGAAGGAGTTACCAATGCTGCACTGTTACAACTTATGTGAGACAGGTTAGTGATAATGGTTTTTCTCTATTGATGAGTCTATCAAGTATACTTAATGAGGGGAATACCATAAATACTTCTCAGATTTTAAATATTTTTAGATATTCTGTTTCATACTGATAAGAATCACTTTTTCCCTCACTGAAGTGATATTTTCAATTTTTCAGTGGGCATGTAATTTTGACAGTTACCTCTTTCAGGACAAACATGTTGAACTTCCACCATGGAAGGAAAGGAGACGGTACCATTCAGGACTCCCACTTCATTCCAGCAAATAAGCAAGGTCTCCCAGCAACATTATTTTGAACAATACAGAAGAGGTGCATGGTTCTGCTGAATGACTTGTCTAGCAAGTTCCCTCCAACTGTTGCGTGTTGTTGCTTGTGAATGTTCTGCACTTATGCCTGTTCTTCCCTAGCCTCCCTCCCTTTGTGTAGTAACTATTACTACTCAGCTCTATAGCTCATTGCTATGAGAATTTGAGGTCCCACAGAAGACCCGGCAACATTCCTCTTTATCTAATTTTAAGGAATAAAATTCTTGACTATTGACTAATTAAATGGAAGCTGGAAGATAGCATTGGATCGCCAACATTGTATCAGTATTTATTGACACACTTTAAGCTTTTAGCTAAGCCGAGGGCCAGTAAAAAATCACCATGGTGTCACAATATCACTTATGTCCCTTTAATTATCTCAGAATTCTCCACACAGAGCTTTGTCCATATTAGATATGGAATACTTGTGGTCATTTCCAGTTGCTATCACTCTGTACAAGTGCTCTACTGACAATGTACATAGACTGATGAGTAGATTAGGCACAAACATTTGAGAACAATAAACAGTCTTTACTTATGTAAAGGGCACAAAAGAATGTTAGGATATAGATAGACAAATCAGCAATATTGTCCAGAATCCCAAGATTACAAACTTAATAGTACTAAATCTCACTAGCAGGTGTAGTGGTTGCAAAACTGAAAGTATAATGAAGGAAGGACTAGAATCGTATCTCTCTTCTTCTAGCCCTAGTCATATCCTGAACATAGTCTAGTATAGAGACTTAGTAGAAATTATTTCACCAGGGCCAAGAAAATCTCAATAGTCTCAGAGTTTTATTGTGCAAGTGGAATATGCAGTACTTTAAGGCAAGAACCAAATGCTCATCGATCACTCCAAACTATCCATGCCAGAACATTCTGTTTGAAGTACTTTCTTGAACTCAGTGCCATGGAAATAGAATAAAGATAATCTCCCTGGACATCTCTGAGATTCATGCAAATAATCTCTTAGGTTCAGTGAATGGATTAACTGGTAATTTGTGTAACAAACAAACAAAAAACCTAAGCTTTAATAAACATGTTGGGTGTGTGGGTTCTAGGAGAGCTAGAGATGATGCTTAGGACACAGACTTGAGAAATAGAATTTAAGAGAACACGTTGTTTCTTTAACTATGTGGTGATATAAAGGACATCCATAAATTAAAGTTTCAGTGCCATTTTTCATGTTATTTCGAATAATGAAAATTTTAATGAAAATAACTATAAAGTAAGAATGTATTGTCACTTGAATCAGTTCCAGAAACGCAAAACAACCTAAAGAAAAAGGAAAATTTACTGAATAGAGTAAATTTACTGAATGATATTCTGGAAAACAAAACAAAACACTTCCTTTGAATGGTTCTAAAATTAGGCCTTAGGGACAATAACTTTCATTGCTTTTGTCTTTGTATTTCTTTTTTTCTCTCATGTAGTCTTCTAAATAGCCTCAGAGTTTTGCATAGTAAAACTATAGCTACCAAGGAGGACCTGCTTTGAATGTTTATCTGTATTCCTAAACTAAACTCTAACTTAGCTCAGCTGTGGTTAGCAGACCATCCCAGAACTATAAAGACAGAATCACAGTAAAAAAATGACTGCCCGAAGGGTAACCACATCAGAATGGAAAAGTGAAGGGAAAAGAATGGGGAAGAGGACAGGAGAACAGTGTTCAGAAGTGTTTAAGGAAAAGTAATCCTATATCCAAAGCATACGTAATTTATACATCTTCACGGTAGAAATAAGTCTACAGCAGAATTGTTCAAATTTGGCACTACTGATATGTGGACTAGATAATTCTTTGTTGTAGGGGAATGCCCTCTGCACTGCAGGATGTTTAGCAGCATCACTGGCCTCTACTTACTAGATAGCAGAAATGCCTTCCTGCTCATGACAATTGAAAATGTTTCCAGCTTTTGACAGATGACCTGGGGATGGGGGGAAATTGCTGCCAGTTAAGGAGTTGTTGGCCTATGGCAATCATATTTTATCAAATTGCCTGAAAAATATATTGAAGGTTAGATGTAGAGGATTATAATTGAAATATATACAGATACAAAATTATATGTGGGAATTAACATAGTATCATAAAGAATATATAGTTGTAAATGCATCAAAATATTTGAAAATTAATTTGTTATTAGTCCAAGGTTAAACCATTTCAGAACATCAAATCAGGTTTCTCATTTTTATTTATTTATTTAATTTATTTATTTTTTGATACCAGGGATCAAACTCGGGACCTTGCAGTTGTGAGGCAGGTGGCACCACTGAGCTAAATCCCTGGCCTAAATCCCTTTCTCATTTTTAAAATTAAGGAAATAACAGCATCACAGCACAGAGTATTAAATAATCATGTGAAAGTGGTTTGGAATCTATGAAGTGGAATACAAATATATGATAGAAACTCAAATCCAAGAGGAAAGTCAGGTTTTTATGGGGGTATTATTATAATCTTGTCTCATTTTAGCATAGGATTTTAATATAATATTGATAAAACTAAAAATAATAGTTAATAAGTAGAGAGCTTATGTCATTTGATGTGTTTTGCTATGCTAAGAATTTTATTCATTTATTAGTGTTAACAGTGATAGTTAACTTATTTTATAAAATTATTACCTTTATTAAACATTCTGAATAGCTACAAATAAATAATTTAAAATATATTTTATTTTATCATATAAAATTGGAAGCAGCCATACTGCTCAATCAAAACTCATTAAAATTTTTGCATTTATTATTCCTTGGTGACAAAATTATAGCAAGTCTTTCATGAAATACTGAACATGGAGTTGAAATAATAATAAATTTATTTTCTAACAGGATACATTATCTTCTAACAGGATACACTTAAGCCATTCCAAAAACATATATTCTAAAGACAAATAAAACACTATCACATGGAGAATATCAGCACCACCAATAACAACTCTGACAGTAATAATAAAAACAAATCAACCAGTACTAATTAAATCATTATTCTGAACTTGGAATAGCCCTAAGCACCCTATATAGATAATCTTATTTAATAGCTGAGAAACTTATTAACTCATGTAAAAATATTGTAAAGCACAGAGATAGGAGAAGATTTAGACGATAGAAAATTTTCCTCTATTAGGATACCATAGTGACATTTTAAAATAGGATAATCAAATCTTTTTTTAGTGTTCCTTTTATCATATCTTTATCTGTTTGTAGTATCTAAGAGTGTATCTTAATATTTTCTATTTAACACATTTTTGTTTGTTTTTTAAATTTAAATTTGTTGAATAAATGTAAGAAAGAGAATAAATACCGCAATAGTGGTTTGTATATTTTTTCTTTTTCTTTTTTGCCCCTTGTGTATTATACTTTTGGCTTATGATGATGACACATCTTCTTCTTCTTCTTGTTCTTCTTCCTCCTCTTCTTCTTCCTCTTCCTCTTCCTTTTCACTTTCCTCTCCTTTTTCTTTTCCCTCTTTCTTTTCCTCTTCCATTTTCTCTTCCCCTTTCAACACCTTTTCTTTCTTTATTTCCAATTTCTCTTCCTGCTTTTTCTTTTCTTTTTTTTCTTCAGATACTTCAGGGGTAAATGCTGCCTGTTTTTCCAATAAGACTCTTGGAAAATGAGGCTGTACTATCAAAACAATCATGATACATATCAGAAAACATATTTTTCTCAGTAATAAAACAAACATGCACAGAGGATCACAAACAATTAGCCAGGGTACTTCCCAATGTGGGTACCAAAATTGGTAATCTGTAAATAAAGAGACAATTGAAAGCTAGATTTCACATAAAAGTAGTTAAGTTATTCAAGAAACAAAGGGCAAGAATACATACATATGGCTTGGTCACGATTTGCATTACCTAGAAAGAAAAAAAAAGTCTATAAAGAATTACATAAAATTTCATATTTCTGTATAATAAAGCATTTCTCCAATAATAGTGTCTCCATCCTCCTAGGTTTTAGGCATCATGGTATCATTTTTGATGTCCCTCCTCCAAATAGTAGGCAATCATAAACTGCAATATATTCTTTTTTAGTAAAAGATAGCCTGGTATGCCAGAAAGTATGGAAATACAGGAGTGGGGTGTTATGGATTCTAGTACCAATTCTGTGTCTGTATCATTATGTCACCTTATTTAAGTCACTTCATCTCTGTCTTCTAAAGATTGTTTCAGTTCTGACTATGTAGGATATTGCATGTCCGGTTTTCATCTCTCATTCTCTCCCTGGATTGGTCCAAAGTAATTTTACAAATTAACTCATTTTCCTCTTGTTTTCAGAGGCTTTCCATTGCTTCTCATTCCTGAGATGAGAAAGTTACCTCTATAGCCTGATCTTCAGCATTCTTAGCTACCTAGCTCAGTGAAATCATACTTTTTAGGAAATAAATTGCCTTTCATCTTCTCACTCTACCAGAGTGGGTCAGAAAACCAATCCTAAATTCCACTAGGAAAGAGTGGAAGCATAAATGAGTTTGCACAAATAGAAAACCCAGTGTCAACCTGGGCTTTGCCTCAAAATGATATTGCCTCAAGGGGAAAATTTAGAACTTATCCTTCAGGCACCTTGGAAATGAAATGACCTTCCAATGGATCTTTGAGGCTATTTTAGCATTTTGTGCTTGGGCTTATTTCATATATTATGTAATAATTTCTATATTATATAGCTTTCTAAAGGAATTTTTTACTATGGTTTGAATTTTTTCTGTGTATCTGTTGATCCTTTAGTATAAACAATAATATTTCCTCTTTGCAACTTCCTTCACCTCTCATCACTAATTTTCATTGATTACATTCTTTTCCTTGTGCATTCATTAAATATTTAAATACACTTAAATTTCTCTATATCTGTTTCATTTAGCAGCTTTTAGACAGTATCTTTGTCTCTACAAACGATAAAGAAACAAGTATTTGCATCTCTCTTTCCCTCTCAAATTTTCTTAATGGTATTATTTTTATACTGACAAAACTCACTTTATGTACATTTTGTTTTATAATTATTATCATCAGATTTGTTTAATCTAAGTTAAATTTCAATGTTTGGAAATACTTCTTTCAGTTCAGTTTTTCAATTCATCTTTTTAGTGAAGCTTGTCTTCTAAAGTTCATTGAGAGAGTGCCTATGAGAACTTCATATCACAAATTCTGCATGCTCTCAAACAATTGCCTATTTGCTTATAATTGAATGATAGGTTTGGCTGAATATAAATTGTTGGTTGACAGTTCTTGCACTAAGGGTGAATAGGCATCACTCCACTGTTTCTTAGCACTGACTGTTAATAGGAGAGAATTTGAAACAAGACTGAATTTTTTCCCTCTATGTGGGATTGTCAGTTACCAATGTGGTTTTGGTACCACACCAGTTTATACTTGATTTTGTATTGTAGAGCTGAAGCCTGAAATGGCAGTTCTGTGAATCTTTCCTTTGTATAGATTCAGGTAGAGTTTTCCATTGACTAGAACACAAATGAAATTTGGGAGATGTAGGAGATGATTTGGGAGATATAGGAGTGGAAACCATAAATCTCCAGAGGTGATTGTAAGCCAGACAAAGATTTAGATGAACATAAGATTCACAGTGGCTTTGCTGCTACTTCTCTGCCTTTTGGTGCCAACCTCCCTGACCTTGGCTCCCCTAGCACTCATATAAAACTGTATTTCTTATATTAAGCCCTTTATTGCCAGAACACTCAGAGTGACTGATTTCCTAATTCAACTGAGACAGCTGAGCTCTCTAATAACTGGTTTTACATCTTTGCTTACATGCTTAAAGGATTCCTTCTCTTTTACTGAAATTCACTAACTTACTAGGATATGTCTACTATGTTAGCTATTTTTGTCACTTTTTCCTGGCATGTGATATATACTTTCAATGTTTACATTTAATAATTAGGTTCTGTGGTCAGGATTCCAGGTTTAATTTGGCTATGTTCATTGTTTCAGGGTCTCACTGGACTGAAATCAATGTGTTGATTGAACTGTGGTCTCATCTGAAGGCTTGACTGGAAACAGTTCTGTTTCTTGGCTTACTGATGCTTTTGGAAGAATTCATTTCCTTGTGGCTGTAGGACTAGGAACTTCAGTTTTTGCTCGTTATTGGCTGGAGATCATTTTTAGTTCTAATGGTGACATACAGTTCTCTGACACATGGCTCTCTTCATAGCTAGCTCACAATATGACTGCTTGGTTCTTCAAGGCCAGCAGAAGAAGGAGAATTTGCTAGCAGTATTAAGTCCTATATGGCATAATCTCAGGAATGCTATCTCATCACCTTTGTCAATTAATCTAATTGAGGATTGATATCACATAATTTTTGTTGTATTCTAATGGTGAGAACCAAGTCACAGGTCCCATCCACATTCAAGGAGAGGGGATTACACAGTGGAATGGATACCAGAAGTTGGAGATCATAAATGGTCATCTTCAGGTCTTAATTCTTTTTACTTCCTCTTCTCACTCCATTCCCTACCCCCTCCCTCCAGTTTTTCACATTCCAGGTATTTGCAGGCTATTATGTGGGGGGAAAAGCCAGATCATTGTCCAGGTTAATGGAAAAAATTCCTGGTTCATTGGCAATTTTCTTTATGTCATAAGATTGTGTGCATCAGGTACCCCTTAATCATGATTTCTCCCTATAGATCAAAAATCAGCAGTTGCAATGATGTCAAATCAAAATAGAGATTTGTTTGCTCAATTTCTTACTGAAAAGATGTCATATTTAAGGTGATTTCTCATTCTGCCTATGTATTGGTTTACTGGGGATGCTGTAAAAATTATGACAAATTAGATGTCTTAAAACTACAAAAATTTATTTTTCCACAGTTCTGGATGTAAGAAGTCTGAAATCAAGCTGTTAGCTAGGTCATGAACCTTTCAAATCTAGAGAATATACTTCTTTGTCTTTGTCTGGCAATCTTTGGCATTCTTTGGCTTATAGTGATATCACTCCACTCTCTGACTCCATCTTCACATGGTCTTTTTCCCTCTGAGTGCATGTTTATGGTCGTTCCACTTCTAATAAGGATATTAATTAGGGGATTCAGACCTCACTGTAATCTAGGATCACCTCACCTTAACTTACTAATAGTACTAATTACTTACTAGTTACTGGATTATCTTTCTAAATAAAGTAAAATTTTGAAATCCTCGATAATTTAATTTTTGGGGAGAGATATTATCCAATCCATTACAAACTACCTCTTCTACTTCTCATTTGTGGAAAACTGCTTGGGACTTCTTCCTTTTAGCCTATGTATTCTGTTCGTTTGTCTCAGAAAAGGAATTGTTAGGTTTGTCTCTCAGAGTTTGACACGTATTTTGAAAATGTGCTTTGAGATTTCTCTGATAACCTCTGAATTTGGCTGCCTTTGTATTTACTTGGTAGAAGGGTACAAATGATTCCCAATTTCAGTGAAGATGTAGTTTATATCTATTTCTTCTTATCTTTGTCATTTCTAAATGTCTTACAAAGAGAAAGCGGTAGAACCAAATTTACTATTTAAAAACTGATCTTCCAATTCTGGTTCCAGAAAAGATGCATAAACACACTGTAACTTTTTCTCTTCCACTAAATAAAACTGTAAGTCCTGGATACAATGGATAGGCAGCTGTTTGAGAACTCTTAAGAATAAATATCTGTGGGGAGATTGAGAAAGAACACCAGAATTCAACGTATGGTGAGTTCACTGTTTTTCCCCTCTGTAGTACCTCCTAGCCTGAAGTCATTACTACCTAGAATTTAACGTGAGCTTTATGGTATAGACAGAAATCTAGGCCAGGACTCTGGTTCTGACTCAAGGGGTGAGAAATGGAATTTGTAAGAAATGGAACTCAGTACTCTGATGGTGAAAAAAAATCACCAAGTTAGTTTTTCTCTCCTTTCTGTTCATTCTTTTATGCCTCAGACTCCAGGTAATCTGGTGGCAGTGATTATGGCACAAAAGTGGCCAGCAAGAAACCAAAGAGCCAAAATTCTGAGAGAATTTTTCTTCACTTATGGTTTTGAGAGGGCAGGGCTAAATTCTTCTTCTGTTGTATCTCTGTTCTCCTGCTGCTTAGGTCAGAGAAATAAGAGCTTTGAGTAGGATAGGAAGAGACTTTGAGTAGGATAGGGACATTATATAACTGTTTAGGAACTTCTGGGCTTAACTAGGCATGTGAAAAAGGTAGCAAGTCAAAGACTTTGAGAACAGAGCTGATTGGTAACAGTTTCCTTATATGCCAGGACTGAGTGTGGTTTAGCCATAGATATGAGGAGCACTGCCAAGGCTTTGAAAACTAAACTTCGGAACTGTAGTTTACAGAAAGTAGATTGGAAATTCTGGCCTGAATTTAAAAAGGTCAAGTACCTTCTAAAAAAGAACATCAATATTCTCAGAATTTAAACAAGGATCTATTTTTTTTTTTTTTTTGGTACCAGGGATTGAACTCAGGACCTTGAGATTACCAGGCAGGCAGTGTGCCACTGAGCTACATCCCCAGCCCTTAAATAAGGATCTAGTATTTCAAAATGGAATACTCAAAATTCTAGGATATAATTCAACCACAAAATTCTCAACTCAAATGAGAAAAAACAAGTAGTAACCATGATGAGATAAAATAGATATTGGAATTATTAGATAAAGACTTTGAAATAAAAGTTAAAATGGAAAGAATTGCCCAAGAACCAGAAAATATAGAAAAGAATAAAATGGAAATTTTAGAACACAAAAATAGAATAAAAACATTAAAGAATGAACAACCCCCCCCCCAAAACATGGAAGGAGTCAATAGCAAATTAAAGATGACAGAGGAAAGAATCTTTGAACTTGGAGATAGATCAACACATATGGTCCAATCAGATAATATCAGCTCAACAGATATGATCCAATTGTGCAGGGAGGATCATGATGGTCATGAGGGGGGATTTAATAGAATAAACCAAATGTGCCTCAGAAAGCATATGTATCAACATTGAATGCTCTCACTCATGGCACACAAGGTCTGATAAAGAGAACAAATGTGATCATGAAAAATTATCTGAAGAAATAATGGCTGAAAACATTCCAAGTTTGGTAAAAGATATAAACCTACAGATGCAAGAAGCTGAGCATATATCCTGTGAAATAAGCCCAAAGAAATCTATGCTCAGAAACATCATGATCAAACTGCTGAAAATTAAATACAAAATAAAGACTTAAAATGAGCTGGAGGAAAATAACATCCTCTAAAAAAGAGACAAAGAATTAAATTACTATGATTTTCTCATCAGAAACCACAGAGGCTACAAAAAAATGGCACAATATTTTGGCAGAAAAGAATTTTATATCCAGCAAAAATAGCCTTTGGGAATGAAAAAGAAATAAAGACATTTTTTCAAATGAAGGAACTCTAAAGAAATTTATAGCTAGAAGACCTGCTATAAAAGGACTGAAATATATTCTTCATATAGAAAGTAAATGATACCAAGAAGAAAGCTTGGGATATCAGAAATGAAGGAAAAGCCACAGAGAGACAAATATAATAGACTATCTGTGTAAATACAATATGCTACTTCTTTCTCTTAAATTCATTTGAAATTTGAAAACAAAACTATATCATTGATGGCTTTTCCAGTGTATTTAGGTAAAATATGTAAGACGAATTTGTGATATGTGAGGGGTCTAAGGGGATTTATAAAGAGTGAAGTTGTCTACATTCCAATTCAAGTGGTCAACTATTGATTCTAATAGTATGAAAAATTAAGTATGTATGTTATTATTCCTAGAGCAACTACTAAAATTACACAGAAATATGTCAAAATCATAACAGATAAATTAAATGCAAATTGAAAAAATGTTCAAGTAACCTAAATGATGGCATAAAAAGGGAAACAAAATAATTGGAAAGAACAGAAAGCAAATTATAAAATGGTAGACCTATCTCAAAATATATTAATCACTTTATTAATTGTACATAGTCTAAACACATCAATTAAAACAGGCATTATCAGATTGCACTAAAAACATAACTACATATTGTTTATAATAAACTTACTTGAAATATAATGTAAGCAGTTTAAAAAATAAGAAATGAACAAGGGGATTTAGCTCAGTGGTTCTGCCACCTGCCTTGCAGGGGCAAGGTCCCAAGTTCTATCCCTGGTACCAAAAAAAAAAAAAAAAGAAGTGAACAAAAAAATTGAAGCAGTGATATTAATATAAACAAAATAAACTTCAATAAAAATTTTTTACCAGGGATTTAAAAAGGACTTGAATTATCTATTAATAAAATGGTCAATTCAACAGGAAAGCTTAATAATTCAAATTGTGTGTTAATGTTACAGAATTTGAATTGACATGAAAGAAAACTGAAAGAACTGAGAAGAGAAAGAGAACAATTTACCATTATAGTTAGTGACTTCAATATCTGGAACACATGCTGTTATATTTGGAAATACTGAAAGGAAATTTTAATCAAACATTTTGTCTACATTTTGTTCTCTGAATATTTGAGAGATTTTAAGGTTTTTTGGGAGGAAACAATGAGAAAAGGTTATTCAATGTATGTCACTTTACATTTTTTCTTTTAAAAATATTTTGGAATATTCTTTCAATGTAGTCATCCTCAAGCTAGCTATTGCTTCAGGAATTAGTTTTGAAGCTTTTTCAAGATGTAGCCATTAGTTTTCATTCTTCTTCTGACATTCTGGTGTGTCTTTAGGGGAAGGACCAGGGTCAAGGGATAACAGAAGAGGCTCTGCAGTTTTAGGACAATCTAGGTGGTAGTCTTTCATCCCTTCTTTGATAAAACAATAATAGCATTAGAGTCAGAGGAAGAATATTAACACCACAATAAAAAGCTATCACCACAATCACTTCACTTTTCTTTTTGTCCTATGCTTTATGGATTTTTTCCTTTTTAAGTTATCTTACTGCATAGAAGATCTGTGCATCTGTCATGTGTGCCACATTGAATACAAAATATTCCTGCATGATAAGGCCTTCTAGTCAAAGCTCCTCCATAAAAAAGCAGACAACAGTTAGGAAAAGACTCAATTTTATATTTTATTTAAAAATACAGTTACCAATTTTAACTAGTATTAACAGGTTTTTTAATTAAGAAAATGAGCTCAAGGAAGTACACAAAGATGCAATCTTCCTTTTTTTCCCACCCTAGAAAACTGTCTCTTCTGAAACCAACACTTATGTCACTGGAATAGAGTATTGTGATTTAAATATAAAGTAGACTTCAAAGTTACTTTCATATTTTATAGCAAAATATGTTCTCTAAAAATTGATGATATAGAGGGTTTATGATTAATTGCTTTCTGGTTGACACAAATGTAAAAAAAGTTCTGTAAAAGTGATGTATTTATTATTCAAGAATTTAGAAAATTCTGAAATGCCTATTATCTCAATGGGTTATTCCATAGACCACTTTGGAATCTACATGAAAAAATACATAGATATATAAACAAAACAAATGAATATAAATAGGATTTCATGAAGTTGATTTAATCCATCAATAGAGCTGAAGAGAAAAGTGAAAAACTATTGCACTGGTTGCCTATAGCTAACAAAGGGAAAAAGTTCCCAAAGTAGATACAAATTGGGAAATTTATATTAAAACTAGCATAAGATAGAGAAAATATGTAGGGAGAAGATACCTCTGAGTGGGAGGAGTTATTCTGGTCATTTAAATAGGATTACTTATTTAACAACTAGGCAGGTGGAAGTTATAAAAATAAAAATTAAGTATATTAGTTCCTAGTCATTGTATCTAGAATGGCTAAATCTAAAAAATAAATGTTCAAAAGTCTGAACATCATCTTTTCTTAACCATATTCTATTAATGAAGAGGCTTAGAGGGTTTAAGTGATATCCAATAAATTGCAAGCATTTAAGTTCACCAGGGACATCCAGAGGTTGTTATTATTAGCAGGTCTTATGTAACTTTTTAAATTTTACTACCCTACCATCAAACATTTTAAGGAGGAAATGTATTTTGTTTAGAATTCAACCAGAGCCCTAATTTTCCAGAAACAGAAAAATTAATCCAGTTATCTTTACTTACAATTTAGTTTACTTTTCCCATACTCTTTATCACAGAAATAGATGTCTCCAACACAAAAGCCAAGTTTATCCTAAGACCTCAGGGATGGAGAATATCTACCCTAAAGCCACTCACTATTAAGAATGACTTTAAGGCCTGGAACATAGGCAAATAATCTGTGTCATAATATCTGAATAGCTATAGCTTGGGAAAACTCTTGAAAGGCAAACAAATAAACAAATAAATACACACTAAGCTAAAGTATAATGAGGGTTACTTTTTCAAAATTTAAATTTTATAATAATTATTTAAGTAGCTAGAAATGCCAGGCTAATGCTCTTCTATACCAATCTTCCTCTATTTTTTAATATCTAAGAAGTTAAACCTAAATCAACTCAAGTTGGATTCCACAATACAACTCCTAATTGCAATTGGAATTATTAGGAGAGGTTAGGAAGTCAATTACATTATATAAAAGAGATAATTTTCTTGATATATAAAGCATTCCTATTAATTAAAAATGTCCAACATCTTAAGAGTGAAATAGTGATTGCATAGAAACAGGTCTCAGAAAATGAAATCTACATTTTCTGAACTGAACAAAAAGATTACCTCCAGGTCTCCAGCTGGCCTTGGCCTTGGCCTTGGCCAACTCTACTCTTCCTCTTCCCACTTCTAGTTCTCACAATAATTGTGAAATATGCTGAAAAGGCAGTGTCTTGATAAACAAGAAGTGTTGAGAATAGCCCAGGTAATGTCTTTATCCTACTTAGAATAGGTTATTTTCTAATCCTTGAGTTCAGTGAGCCCATGTGTACTGATGGTACAAACCCAGGGGAGAGTGCTTTTGGGATTCCTCAACTGAGGTGTGACATGAAGCTTTTGCAGATGAGACTCCATCCTCCACAAGTGGCTTTCCTGAGATTGGACAACCAACTCACTATACACCAAAGGCTCCAAGGTTCTGTTTGCTCTTGCAGCCTATTGGTATCTTTGCTTAACTTGTATGACAGACAGTTCTGTCTCATTAGACTCATGTAAGTGGTAGAGATCCTTTGTAGAGATGAAAATGAATACTACTAGTAAACAATAGAGGGTTTGAGGATACAAGTAAGCAAGGTGGGAACAGGCTCTGTCATTTATAATGTAAAATAAATTTCATAATAGAAAAATGGTGCAACCATGATGAATAGATATTTAGCAATACCTATCAAAATTCAGAATGTACATGTTCTTTGACCTAGTAATTCCATGACTATGAATTAATATTATGGATATTTATTCATATGAGAATTATATACCTATTGGAGTAATTGCAGAAGCATTGTTTACAATAAAATAAAAAAACCTAATGTCCATCAAAAGAACACTGTATAAATAAATATTTGCATATCCATTAAAAATACTATGAAAATGTTAAAAATAATTTGGAAACTTGTGTACTCAAATGAAAAGACTTCTAGAACATGTCTTAAATTTAAAAAATTAAGAAATCTCACAGGAAGTATAGTATATATCAGCTTGAATTAGAGAAATACACAAAGATTGCATATACTTATGGAATATATCTTTCAGGCTAAAAATACTGGAGAGGATAACTGAAGACAGGGATAGGAAGATTACTTCCTCTTTGGTACCTCTGAACTTTCTATCATGAATATGTATCAATGTAAACTAGCACAAACACTATGGAAATCAGTATGGAGATTCCTCACACACACAGAAAAACCCACTAAAGCTATAAATTCCCTTTGACCCAACTATTCTCCTTCTAGTATCTTCCAAAAAGAGTTTAAAACATTGTATTATAGTGATACATACACAGCCATATTTATAGCAATTCTGAATAGCTAAATTGTGGGAATAGCCTATATGTCCATCAACAGATGAATGGATAAAGAAAATGTGGTATGTACACACAGTGAAGTACTACTCTTTCATAAACATAAACTTGAGGCATTCCTGGGTAAATGGATCCAACACAGAAGTTTAAATATCATATGATTTCTCTTCTATGAGAAACCTGAAGTATAAATAAAGAGCAAGTGAAAGACAGAGAGTAGGAAGTCAGAAAACAGATCTTTTTTAAATGGTAAGGGGATCAAGAGATGGAGGGAGAGAGTGGGGAGGGGAAGGGGATGAAAAAAGGAATTAAGATGAGTTATGTACAAGAGCCAACTCCTCACAAGGACTGCAAACATTATGCACTGCAAACGTGTACTAAAAAGGAATTACACATAGTTTAATTAAAATTACAATCCATTTAACACAATGAGAAAGAGGTCATCTTATACAAGTTCCTAAATTGTAACTGGAAGGAAATATGTAAATTTAAATATATTCAATATTCAGGAAGATTAAGGAATGTTGCATATCTTAATGACAAAAGTACTAACAGCCTTTATGCAACCTAATAAAAGTTGTAAAACTGAACAGGTCAAAATAATGAAATTGAAAACTAACAAAAGAATGAAAAAGGATAAATTCCAAAATCTGTTATTTTGAGAGATTGATAAAACAGTGTAAATCCTCATGAGCTCCGTTAAGCAAGAAGAAATGAAAAATACTAGTAAGAATTCTTTACATTTTCACTTCATATAGTTGTCTTCTGCTTCTTTCCAGACAGAACTTGCTCTTTCATTTCAAAATCTCTCCATCGCTCATAAGTTCTTGTAACATTCTAGCACTCTCAATTTATGGATGGCTTTCTTAACCTTACTTAGCAAACTTATTAGCAACAAAACTGTAAAAACAAATAAGCTTTTACTCAATTCTATGCCTACTCTTTTTCTTTCTCTTCATTGCCAACATTTCAAGCGTTTTAAATTGGCCATTGTTTTTCACACTGGAAGTCATGGCTCAAATCTAGTTCTTCACAAAAAATTTTAAAATATGAAATAGATTAGAATATTGTACTTGATTTTTGAATAAATATTTCTTCCTGTAATTGCTTTATTTTATCATACATTGTAAGAATACACATTATTTTGTAAACTTTTTTTAGATCTACAGTGTTTCATAATTTTACATCTTTGAAATCAGAATACCTACTAGAATTTACGGTGTCTCATTCAGGACTGTGACTCATTTTAAACTCAGAACATTTATATTTGAAGTTTTCTCTTCTTGGAAACCTATTCTAAACTTCATACGATTTTTCTCCTTCCCATGATTCATTTATATTTCCCAAGTTTATTTCTCCACTTAATGTGTCAGAAACATATTTTATACTCCGCTCTTCCAAAAGTCTTCTATTTTTAAAAAATTTTATTTTATTGGTACATTTTAGGTATACAATATAATGACATTCATCATTGGAAATTTTCACCTTTACACAATCTCTCTTGGTTTTTATTTTTTTCCCCTTCCCTTGCCCTCCCTTCAACCCCTCCATCCCTCCCTATTTACAAACACTTTGTTTCCATTTTTTCATTTTCCCATATTAATTCCATTCCTTTCTTTCCTTTCCCCTACCCCTTCCACTTCCCCTTTCCCTTTGCCCCTTTTCTTCCTATTTCACATTATCTATTATAACTTTTAGTCCTTATTTACACTTTCAGTTTCTCACACCAGAGAAACTATTCGGTATTTACACATGTGCTCTACTTCACTTAAGAATATTGCCTCAATGCATTCATTTAGCTATCAATGTCTCTAATTTCTCATTTTTTATGGCTGAGTAGTACTCCATTTTATTTTTAAAAACCCTGCATTTTCTTTATCCAGTCTCCGGTTGATGGGTAATTGGGCTGGTTCCAACCTTTAGCTATTACAAATTGTGCTGCTATGAACATGGGTGCACATATATCACCGTGGTATGATTCTTTTAATTCTTTGGGGAAGATACCCAGCAGGGGAATAGATGGGTCAAATGGAACTTCCAGTCCTAGTTCTTTGAGATATCTCCATATTGTTTTCCACAGTGGTTGCACCAGTCTACACTCCCACCAGCAGTGGAGCAGGGTTCCTCTATCACCAAAGCCCCACCAGCATTTGTTATTGGTTTATTTCATGATAGCAGACATTCTTTCTGGAGTGAGGTGGAATCTCTGCCTTGTTTTCATTTGCATCTCTCGAATGACCAGTGATGTTGAACATTTTTTCATATGTTTATTTGCCATTTCTACTTCTTTGTCTGAGAAATGTTTGTTCATTACAGATGCCCATTTTTGGATTGGGTCTTTAAATTTTGGAGGTCTGATTTTTTTTAAGTTCTTTATAGATTTGAGATAGGAGACCTTTGTCTGAGGAACAGCAGGTGAAGATTTTTTCCCACATTGTAGGTTGTCTCTTCACACTGCTGGTGGTTTCTTTTGCTGTGCAGAAGCTTTTTAATAAGAGATGCCACTTGTTGATTGTTTGTACTAGTTCACAGGCAACTGAGGTTTTGTTCATAAAATCTTTTCCTACACCAATGTCTTCAAGAGTTCTACCTAACTTCTGTTCCAGCCAATTCAGTGTTTCTATTTTAATATTTAGATCCTTAATCCATTTTGATTTTAGTTTAGTTCATGGTGAGAGATATAGGTCTAGTTTTAATCTTTGACAATTTGAAACCCAATTTTTCCAGCACCATTTATTAAAGAGGGTATCTTTCCTCCAGTGAGGGTGTTTAGCTCCTTTATTGAAGGTGAGATGGCTGAGTGAGTCTGGAGTTGTTTCTGCATCTTCTAATCTGTTCCACTGGTCCTAAGGTCTGTTTCTTTGCCAGTACCGTGCTGTTTTTCTCACAGTAGCTTTGTGGTAGAGTTTAAAGTTGGGGGTTGTAATACCCACTGCCATGTCTCTGTTGCCTAGATTTGCTTTTGCTATTCTGGGTCTCTTCTTGTTCCAAATGAATGTTTGGATTGTTTTCTCAAGGTCCATGAAGTATGCTGCTGGGATTTCTATTGGGATTGCATTGAATCTATATAGCAATTTTGGAAGTATGGCCATTTTCACTACATTGATTCATACTACCCAGGAGCAGGGGATGTCTTTCCATTTTCTGATACCATCTTCAATTTCTCTCTTCAGACTGCTATAGTTTTCAGAGAAGAGGTCTTTGATTTCTTTTGTTAGGTTGATTCCTAGGTATTTAAGTTTTTTGGATGCTATTGTAAAAGGAATTGTTTGCCCTGTTTCTGTTTCAGTGAGTCTGTTGTTCGTGTAGAGGAAAGCTATTGATTTTTGTGTGTTGATCTTGTATCCAGCTACTCTACTGAATTTGGTTATTAAGTCTAGAAGAGTTTTGCTGGCATTTTTGGGGTCTTATATATACAGTATCATGTCATCTGCAAACAATGACAATTTGACTTCTTCCTTTCCTATCTTTATTCCTTTTGTTTCCTTCTCTTGTCTAATTGCTGAGGCTAATGATTCCAAAACTATATTGAACAGGAGTGGTGATAGTGGATATCTTTGTCTTGTTCCTGATTTTAATGTGAAGGATTTCAGTTTTTGACCATTTAATATGATATTGGCTATTGGTCTTTCATAGATGGATTTTGTAAGATTGAGGTAAAGACCATCTATTCTGATTTTTTGTAGGGTTTTTAAATCATAGATGTATGTTGGAGTTTGTCAAATGCTTTTTCTGCATCTATTGAGATGATCATATGGTTTTTGTCCTTGGCTGTATGGATAAAGTGTATGACATTGATTGATTTGCATATGTTGAAAAATCCCTGCATCCCTGGGATGACTCCCACTTCATCAGGGTGTATGATCTTCTTGATGATCTTCTGCATTCTGTTTGCAAGTATCTTATTAAGGATTTTTGCATCTATGTTCATTAGTGAGATTGGCCTATAGTTCTCCTTTTCAGTTGGGTCTTTCTCTGCTTTGGGGATCAAGGTGATGCTTGCTTCCAGGAATTAATTTAGGAGTATTGCTTCCCTTTCAATTTCATTGAAGAGTTTAAACAGTAGTGGCAGTTGTACCTCTCTAAATGTCTTGTAGAATTCAGTGGTGAAGCCACCAGGACCTGGAATTTTCTTACTTGCTAAGTTTTAAATTATTTTTTCAATTTCATTGATTGATATTGGGTTGTTTAGAATTTTTATGTCTTCTTCATTCAACTTTGGTAATTCATACATATCTAGGAATATATGCATTTCTTATTGGTGTATAGGTTCTCAAAGTAGATATTGATGGTCCTCTAGATTTCTGCTAGGTCTGTTGTAATTTCACCCTTTTCATTCCTAATTGCATGGATTTGGCCCTTTTCTTTCCTTTTCTGATGAGGTTGGTTAAGGGTTTGTCAATTTTGTTGATTCTTTCGAAGAACCAACTCTTGGCTTCCTTGATTTTTTGTATTATTTTCTTAGTCTCCACTGCATTGATTTCTGCCCTGATCTTTATGATTTTCTCCTTTCTATGTATGGGCTTTGGGTTTGCCCTGCTCTTCTTTTTCTAGAAGCTTGAGGTTCAGCATCAGGTGTTTAATTGGGCTCGCTCTGTTTTCCTAATACAAGCATTCACTGTTATGAATTTCCCTCGTGAGACTGCTTTCATTGTGTCCCATAGATTCCAATATGTTGTACTGTCATTGTCATTTAATTGAAGGAAATATCTAATTTCTTTAATTTCCTCTGTGACCCATTGGTTATTCAGAAGTGTGTTGTAAAATTTCCGTGTGTTTATGATGTTTTTGCAGTTTCTTTTGCTATTGATCTCCAATTTCATCACACTATGGTCTGATAATATACAGTGGATAACTTCAATTCCTTTGCACTTACTTAAATATGTTCTATGAGCAAGTATGTGGTCTATTTTGGAGAACTACTCATGTGCAGCTGAAAAGAATGTGTATTAAGATTTTGTGGGGTGAAACACTCTAAACATGTTAAGTTTATTTGTTCATAAATTTGATTGAGTTCTAGTATTTCATCGCTGGTTTTTTGTCTAGTTGATCTATCCATATGTGACAATGGGCTATTGCAGTCCCCCAGCACTATTGTATTGGTGCTTATATGATTTTTCATGTCCATTAGTATTTGTTTTACATAGTTGGGTGCAGTAGTGTTTGGTGCATAAATATTTATGATTGTCATCTCTTCCTCTTGGATTGTTCCCTTTACAAGGATATAGTGTCCTTCTTTGTCTCTCTTAATCAGTATGGGTTTGAAATGCACTTGGTCTGCAAAGAGGATAGCTACTCCTGCTTTTTTTCTGATTCCTGTTGCATGGAGTATTGTTTTCCACCCTTTAACTTTTAGTCTATTAGTTTCTTTTTGAATTAAGTGTGTTTCTTGTGTGCAGCATAGTTTTGGATCTTGCTTCTTGACCCATTCTGCCAGCCTATTTCTTTTGATTGGTGAATTGAGACCATTAACATTGATGGTTATAACTGATATATATGGAGTTATCATAGTCATGATTTTTTCTCTTTGTTGGATTCTCCCCCTTTGCTTTTAATTTCTTGTTGTGCCTAGTAGATTCATTCTGCTGGACTTTTTGGGGGTGGTGATCCTCATCTATTCCTAGGATTTTGTCTAAAATTTTGTGGAGTGCTGGTTTGATATTCATGAAGTTCCTAAGGTGCTCTTTGACATGAAAACATTTTATTTCACCATCAATTTTGAAAGATAGTTTTGCAGGGTACATCAGTCAGGGTTGGAGGTTGTTTTTATTTAGGGCTTGAAATACATCACTCCAAGGTCTTCTTGCCTTGAGGGTTTGCATTGAGAAGTCTGCTGTGATTCTGATGCGCTTTCCTTTGCATGTGATTTGTTTCTTTTCTCTAATTGCTTGTAGAATTTTGTTCTTCTGTTGGGTTTCTAGAATCTTAACAATTATATGCCTATGTGTAGATTTTTTTTTTGATCAAAGCTAGTTGGAGTCCTATATGCCTCACTTATCTGTATGTCAAGTTCTTTTCCCCTGCTCAGGAAGTTTTCTGCCATTACTTCTTTGAACAGTTTTTTTTTTATGTCATCTGCACTCTCTCTTGTCTCATTGATTCCAATCAGTCTTATGTTATTCTTCTTTGCACTGTCTAGCAACCGCTGGATTGGTGTCTCATGGTCCCTTACTATTTTAAAGAAATTTTTCTTTTCCTGGTCACTAATTGCAATCTTATCTTCTATATCTGAAATTCTGTCCTCACATTGGCTCATTCTGTTGTCTAAGCTTTCAATGGAGTTTTTATTTATGGATTCCATTTGTTTCCTATGTTGGGATTCCATCATGTTCCTCAGCTCCTCTATTTTTTTTATCTGTTTCCTCTCTAGATTTATTAATCATGTCTTGCACTATGGGCACAATCTCTGTTGTTATGTGAGAAATTATTTCTGATTTCATTTTTTTCCAGATCTTTCATTGCTAGTTTATGGAGTCCAGGTGTTTGAGTATCAGATTGTTCCATCTCATTTCCCTTTGGGGTTGCTGTAGGTGATCTGGAAGTCTGGTTCTGAGGCTCGTTTACATGTCTTCTCATTTTGATGGGGGTTGGAGGGGTGTGCTGCTCATGCCCACATGGCTCACTCCTTTGTGCTGGGAGCTGTGGCATGCCTACTCAGAATCAGAATCCTCCTCTGCACCAGGAGCTGTGGCACTACCTGGAAGCTTCCTCTGGGCTGGGAGCTGTGGCATGCCTACCCGCAAGCCTCTTCCATCCATCCTGACATATCCTTATAGATTATAAAAGTTTAAAAAATTGCTTCTCTTTCATTTAGTCTCTGTTCTCTAGGAACACCAATTTGTAGATTTATCTCTGATACCCAATTCTAGTCCTTTTATCACACATATATTCATTTCTATTCTTCATTTTTGTGTTCTGAGAGAATTTTTAAGGTCGTCTTTCACTCATATTTCTGTATGGCCAAATCTGTTTTATTTTTTCCTTCTATAGTTGTTTCTTGTAGCTAAATTAGCAAATTATTGCAAATGAGGTCATTGAAAACAACAGAAATTCATTCCCACATAGTTCTGGAGGCCTAAAGTCTAAAATAAAGTTCTTGGCAGGACTGTATTCCCTCCAGAGGTTCTAAGAGAGAATCTGTGCTTTGACTTTTCCTTCTTATGCTTCTGGTGGCCTTTGCAGTTCCTTGGCCTGTAGGTGCATCACTCCAATCTCTTCCTTCTGGTCACATCACCTCCTCATTTTCTGGTTGTGTTTGTCTGATTCTCCTTCTCTCTTACAAGAATACATATCATTGCATTTAGTGCTCACCAGCATAATAAAGCATAAACCCCTTATCTCAAGATCCTTATCATAATTATGTCTTTCTCAAAGCAGGTATATAAAGTAATATAAATTCTGAGAATTGAGATATGGACATATCTTTTAGGTGGGAGCAGTATTCTGCTTACTACACATTGTTAATTTTTCATTTATTTCTCTTATTCTCATTTTGCTTAGTATTTCTAATGCTATAAAAGACTCATTTTTCTATTAACTATTTTAAAGAGAGATAGCTATGATTGCATATTTTGGGTACATAATGAAATAAAAATTGGACTGCGTTGACTGACAAACGTTTAACTCTATATCCCTCATAGGTAGACTTGCTCATATTTGTATCAAAAGAAAAATGGATAGAAATTTCAAGACAAAAAAGCCCATGGATCAGGAGAGTAGAAAGAAGAAGGAGTAATCCCACCATTTTATCATTATAGCCATGGCAAACCCTGTACTCACTATTGTGATCAAGGTCACTAATCCCTTCATCTTAATTAAAGATTACCTTCTTCCTCATCTTTCAGGACCATCTGATGCAGTTAATACCTTGAATTTCTTATGTTCTTCCCTTAACTTCCAAGAACCTTAACAGAATGTTTTTGGTATTGTCATATCTTATTAGCTTCTTTTAATTTCCCTCTATTAGCACCTGAGTTTGAAATATTGTAGTGCTCAAGGAGCTAGTTTTTAAGCCTGTTTATTCACTATCTCACAAAGTAGCCTCATTCAACCCCATGACACATGTCTGTATCAAGGTCTTTATACTAGCAGTTCTCTCTATTTAGAAATCTACTGCAGATCTTCATATGGTTATCTCCATATTATTCACTTACACATCCTACATTTATTTTTCTACCTAATATGACTAAACATAAAAAATAACTACTGATCATCCCTGTCTGAGTTACTGACATTAATATTTACTCAGTTTTTCAAACTAAAGCCCTTGAAAAATTGAAAGAAGAAAAAACCACCACAGTATAGTTTGATTATTCCATTCTGCCTATCCTTAAAGTGAAATCCATCAGCTGTTATTATTGGCTCCACCTGCATAATATATCCAGAAACTGAGCTTTCCTCACAACACAGTGTAACATGGAGAATTCTAAGTTGGGCCACAACATTCAACAACTGTCACTACATGCTTTCAGGACAGTGAATATGACGGCTTTTACTTCCATGATTATATTATATGGCACAGGTGACCTTAACATATTGATATTATCCAGGTAGGCTTGATCCAAACAGTTAAGTGTTTTGAAATCACAGTTTACTTTGGCTCATCATAGAAGAAAAAGATATTTGAAGCATGAGAATACTGACACACTTTGCTGACTTGAAGATGAAGGGAAATATTTGTGAAAGAATACAGAGAGTCTATAGAAGATGAAAACAATGGCTGGCTGACAGCCATTAAAGAAGGGGGAAACTAAGCCCTACAACCATATGGAAATGAATTCTTTGAATAGCCTGAATAAGCTTGGAAAAAGATTTCCCCCATGACCCCCAATTAACAGTTCAGGTGACACAGTGATTTTGGCTTTTGAGTCACTAAGTAGAGAGTTCAGCCACAATGTGCCTGGATTTATGACTTACAGGACTGTGATAATAAATGAGTATTGCTTTAAATCACCACATGTGTGGTAATTGAATATGCAGCAGTAGAAAACCAGTCCACAAGATAAAACCCTAATCCAAGATATCATAGTCTATAGCCTGTAGTATAGAAACAGCCTTCAAATTGTACTTCTTGTTTGTACCCTTATTTGTTATATTCCATCCTCTGTAGAACACCCATAGTAATCTTTTTTAAATTGTTCTTTTCAAACTAAAAGTGTAAATAAGGATCAAAATGTATAATTGGTAATGTGAAATAGGAAGAAAAGGTCTAAAGGAGTAGGGGAAGTGGGAGTGGTAGGGGAAAGGAAAGCAGGGAAAAGTAAAAACTTGAGTAAAGGAAAAAAATGGAAACAAAGTCTTTGTAAATAGGGAAGGGAGGGCAGGGGAATGGGGAAAAAAATAAGAACCAAGATATACCATGTAAAGGTACAAGATCCCAATGATGAATGTAACTGTATTATACACCTAAAATGTACCAATAAACTTAGTGAAAAAAAATTGTTCTTTTCAAAGTGTAAATGAGACTATGTTGCTCACTTGTTTAAGAGCTTCCAATGGCTTTGTCATTACTTAGAATAAATTTCAAATTCTTTAACAGAGTATGTTAAACTGTCAGCTAACTTCAACTCCTACCTCTAATTGTCCATTTATCAAACATACTGAACTCATACAACTTCACAGATTTTATGCATACACTTACACCTGGAATACTGGTTAGTCATCTTATCATTTGTCTTTCAGATCAAATGTCAGCTCCATCTTTAACTACCTTATCTGTCTTATACATTAATCATTCCTTATTTGATAATTCAGCTTTATTTTATAGTGTATTTTATTATGCAGTTAAAATATTATTTATGTGTTCACTCATTAACAAGTTTTTCTTTTTAATAAGACTATAAACTAAATGTAGTCAGTTTTTAATCAGGAAAGGGCTTTTTAAGTCTAGTTCATCTTATATATTACAGTTCTATTGTTTTTCACCCTGGAGAATGTAATCAGCAATCAATGTTTTCTGCTTTTTCTTTTTGGTTTAGTCCTATAGGATTTTATTTGGCAGAGATTCTTTCTCAATCTTAGTAGGTAGTCAACTTTTAGTTTGTAAAAGTGTTCATTAGAATTTTTTCTTATTTATTTGGAAGTTATACTGTTATTTACAATATCAAATTGTAAGAAAGCCTGGGACTTTTCATCAGAGCTCTCAAGAGATGGAAGCTCATTTGAAAGGAAGTTATTTACTCTCAGAGGCAGGTTCTCAGATATAGGATAGTTACATGATGAGTAAATGAAAAGAACTGAAGACTTCTGAAGTGCTCTTCCATGTCTAAGATGTTATAACTCTTTACATGCAAAAAAGCAGCCCCAATCAACAATCCCATTTCCACTAGGAGCCTGTTAAATAATCTTCATGTTTCAAAACTGATATATTCCTGAAACAATTATTACTACTTAGGTAAATTTTAACATACCTACTTTTGTTTTCTTTTGAATTTTATTACAAATATGGGAATAAACTACTTTTGAAAATATTTTAAATCTTAATTAGTTTAGATATTGTGAAATTATACTAAAGTTAAGATTCTTTTAGGAGGTATCACTTGGCTAACTTACAAGTAAAATCAATATGCCCAATTATGACTTATTTCATTACGGAATTGAAAATATCTCACCTTTAACAAAAACCTTATATTTAATTCTTTTATGGTTAATAAAAACATTTAGAAGAATATACTAGAACCTAGGAAAACTTAAGCTTTAATTATTGTTTAGTTTTATATTTTTATTAATTTAAAGTAACTTACCCTGGTGCATAATTGCATATAAAAATTGCCGCATGTTGAATAGTTCCAACTGTTGAACATGCAGTCACAGTGCAACCAACTTTATAAGACCTGTCCCAAATGAGCTAGAATATAGTTTTCAAAAAATACAAAATTTAATTCTAAACATTACTATCTTATTTTATGAATAGTCATACATTCCATTCATATATAATCTTAATTCTTGGTTCTGATACAAATAGTTACTGAAGACTTTAATAATGTCATATAATGTTGAGAATATGTGTATGAGAAGTAAAAGTCTCTGGTTTCTGTGTATTACCAGATATAGAATTAGATGATTATTAAACAGTGTGATATATGAAATAATAAAGGGGTATATAGATAATAAAAAGTGTATCAGTATTCATGGAATATAAGGTATAAGCATGGATTACTGGACACGAGGCAGGGAAATAATGCTATTAAGTTTTGCTTAAAAGTTTTTAATCAGTCTGTTGTACAGTACTATGAATACTGATTGGTGCAAAAAATCAAGATTTTATTTTTTTTGTGGTCAGTAATTTGTAAATAATTATTTACTGTATTCTTATTTCCCTTTCCAGTGTGTACTATTTTCAGAACAGTCTTTCATCTTTGGGTATGCTATATTTTATGGCTCATACCTAGAAAGCCTTAAAGCCTCATTTGGTCATAGGTGGGGGTTTTCAGAGATGGCTGGATCCAGGATGTGTGATGCTAGGATTAAGTGTGTGATGCTTGGATTAAGGGTGCCCCACCCGGGGTATGGGTGGCACTAATCAATAAGTTTACGGCCTGGATAGAGTAGTATAAAAGGCTGCTTCTGTTTTGCTGCTGCTGGTACTGCTGCTACCCTTGCTTGCTGCTTTTACTGCCTCCTGCATTCCATGCCACACACTGTTGTTTCTCCTCTCTGATGCCCCTCCCCCATGCTGCGCTGGCTTGGAGCCAGCCAACTATGGACCGACGCCTCTACAAATTGTGAGCCAAATAAACCTTTCCTCCTTTAACTTTGGGTGTTGGGCATTTCTGGTCTCAGCAACAAAAAAAGTAACTAAGACACTATAATTAAAGGAATGTTTTGATGATATGGTTTACATAATTGAAGGAATTATGGATATTTTGAAGATAGAGGACTGATTAGAATTTTGACTTCCTTAGAAGTAATAATTTTACCATTTGAGTTTATTTATAAATATAAAACAAAACTAGGAAGCAAAGCATTTAAGAAGTCTATGGAATTCATAAAAACATTAAAATTATATACCTGAATATAATGAGAACAGTCTTCAGAGCAACTGTCATTTTCAAAAGTATACTTTTTCCTTTCTTCATACCAACTTCTGATAGCAATGCTGGCATTAAATTCATTTTGAGGGCCAGCCCACATATTTTCACCAATAACAGCAAATGTAGAATGGGCCATTTGTACTTCTTCCAAATGACTATTACGTTCAAGCGCACATTTCTTTCCCCATGCTCTTGCAGTTTGTGATAGAGCTACATCCTAAGTCTGGAAAACACACACACACACACACACACACACACACACACACACACACAAAGCAGAGAAAATAATAGTAATAAGCTTTTCTTATGTTGTAAGTTATTTTCTTAGAGTTCTTTCATTTAAGGAAAATGACTCTAACATTGTACTTATGAGTCTTGTTTGTGGAATTTCTATAGAGGAAAACTTATTTGACATAATCATAAGGGAAATGCCCCATGGCTCTCCTTCTATTGACTTATTTTGAATATAATTCATGCAAAGAGTTCCTACTTTTATCATGCAAAAGTTCCTACATTTAGTTTTTTCAAATGCACTCTCTAACTTAATTTTCACAATTATCCTACACAGTGTGCAGTATTAGTAGTCATGCACACTTGGAAATAGAGATATATTCTGAAAAAGGTATCAAGCAGTTGTGCCATTGTGTGAACATCATAGAGTGTACTTACACAAATCTGGATGGTATAACTTACTGTGTATACATCTAGCCTATATGGAATATACCATCATATGTGCAGTCACATTGGCTATATTTCTGTTTCACAGAGGTTGTAACTAAAACACGAGGAGGTTAAGTAGATTGCTTAATGTCTCATAGTAAATTGTGAAACCTGGATTTAAATTTAAGAAATCTAATTCTGAATTCTAAGTTTGAAGCATTTTAATGAATTGCTTCTCATGACTGTGTACAAATAAATTATGATAGTTCCAGATTTATTTTATTTTATTTTATTTTTTTTTGGTACAGGGGATCAAACTCGGGACCTTGCGCTTGCAAAGCAGGCAGTGGAACCACTGAGCTAAATCCCTGGCCCAGTTCCAGATTTCTTTATGTAATCATGAATAAAGTTACAGTTGCAAATAAGGAAGAAGGGAGAAGTTTAGAGGAGCCTTTTGGGAAAGCTGAAATTTCCAAAAGAGGCCTCTGATTTACAAATTATCCCTAGTACAACTATGCCAGCAGTACAGGAACCAGACAGAATTGGTGGAGCATCGAGTTGCCAGGAGTTTAAGGGGAAAGGGGCTCATTATGCCAAGAAATTCCCATGGGAGAGGTATGATCAGATATAGAGAACAGACTTTATAATAGCCAGGAAATAGACTTTATAATTGCCAGGAAAAATAGCCAACATAAGACGCAAGAAGAGAACCTCCCCTCAAAGGATAGAGCCAAAAAAAAAAACAACTTCTAGTCTCGGATTCAGAGAATTAATTCCCACTTGAAAAGAGTATCAAGAAAATATTTCCGACCCAGGATATACCTTTCAAACAAAGAGGTCTGGAACTCTAATACAGCATTAGAGCTTTACTCAGAATTTTAAGAATCAAAATCTATCCTCACTGTTCTTCAACAAACCATCATCCAGAGCACTGGCTCATGAGTCAAACTCACCAATGATCACTCAGTCAGGCTTGAGGACTTAAGACTTCAAAAGTGTGTACTTGGGGGCTTTGGTTGAGAGATCCAGGGGTCTAATGATGAAACCAATTCTATCCACATCACAGCACCATAACTGTTAAAGAAAAAATTATTTGTGACATTTCGTTAACACAACAAGGAAGACTTTATTCAACACTATTGTGACAGGTGTCAAGACCATCACAGTAGTAAAGTAGAGAGGTTGGCTCAAATCCAAATACGGCAAGGACAAATGGTATTTAACCCATGGAATGGAATAAGGAGGTCAATGGCTGAAGAATTACTAAGATGACACCTCAAGAGTTGAGTAGTTCTTGTTAAACTGACCTAAGGAATTCTTGCTCAAGGAAAACCAGGGTAGTTAAATATTAATGGTTAGGCATTCTTTCTAAGTTTGGTTAGGTAGAATTTTTGTTAAAACTTGTCAGGCCATAGGATGGGCCCAAGTTGAAGGTCTCATTAAGAAGAGGACTCAGAGGAGTTTGGTTTGATCAAAGAGACAGTCCTTGCCAAAATATACATATTACTGATTTTAGAAAATGAACACATGTAAATAATGAATTGTACATAACAGGAATAACAAGGAGAGAAGGAAATACATTATTAAGAGCCTTATTCTATGTATTATCCAATACATTGCTATTTAATTTTTTGTTGTTTTTTTGGTACTGGGGATCGAACTCATTTCGGGGCAGTCGGTGGAACCACTGAGCTAAATCCCCAGCCCTGCTATTTTATTTTTTGAACAGGTAATATACCCAATAGTTTATAAAGTAAAAACCTAATAAAATTATTGACAAGTTCTATTGTCCTGCTCCCTACCCTCCCACATCCTGTTGGCCTTACACAGATAACCAGCTGGTTCCTTGTGGATATGTCCATTGTTGTTTGTTTGTTTTTTGAGACAAGGAGTTGCTATGTAGTTCAGGCTGGGCTTGAACTTCCTATGTAGCCCAGGTAGGCCTTAAACTCCTGGTGATCCTCCTGTCTCATGCTCCCCAAGTGCTGGGATTACAGGCATGCATCATCATGCCTGGCTGTTTTTTTTAAATAAAAACTTACATTCTTTTCATTTCTCTTTCTTACATGAAATGAGTCAAATTGTCCCAGCCTTTTTCACGGTCAACTAGATATTTCCTTGTTAATATAGAGAGCTTCTGCATCTTTTTCCCCCAACAGAAGCATGATATTCTTTTATTTTGATGAACCAAAATTACTTTGGCCTCTTAATGCACAATTTTGGTATTTTTCTAATCAATTGCTACTATTAAGCAATGTTATATTGATACAATGAATAACCTTGCTGTGATTCCATTTTCTTCTTACATGTTATGTTAGTAGAATAAATACAAATGGGATCTGAAGGCTGATGAGAAAATAAATCTATAACTCTGTAGATCTTGTTGGATTCTTCTCTAAAGGGATTTTATTGTTTTGTTCTCAAAACCAGTTAATGCATAGAGCAGGGCAAGTCTTTCTGACTTTTACACCCAAATCCAGAAGCAATTTTCAAAAACTGATTGATCAGCTACATAAATATATGTAAAGTCTGAATGGTAAGAATATAATAAGTTTATAAAAAACCATAATATACTGTGGAAAATAATTATAATTCATGTCACAGATGAAGGGCTAATTTCTCAGATAAATAAGGAAAGGAAAAAAAAGGTTAAAGCTCTTAAAAATGGATAAAGGATACTAACAGATCCCTACTAACATGAAAATATGCACAACTTTGTTTATAGTGACATAACTGAAAATTAAAACTACCCTTAAATGTTATATCTCACTTTTGAGAACACCCAGACTCCAAAAGTTCAGCAATACTTTTCTTGGCTAGTCTATAGAGAATCATTGATCTACTTGGAGTTTATACTGATGTATGAGTAGAACATTACCTTTTTCAAATTATTACTGAGTTCTACTAATATCAAAAATTTAAAAAGTCTATCCATATCTCACACATTTCAGATGGTACTATTATCACATACTAAACTCCCTTACATATTTACCTTAAATCTGAATTCTCTATATATTTCAAATGGGTTACTTTTTAAATATACCAGTACTATATTATTTTACTTACTTAGGCTTTATAATATGTATAAAATTTAACATGACTGGTTACCCTCACTTTTCAAATATTCTGGTCTATTCATATTTTATTTATTTTTGAAACAATCTAAATGGGTAGATAAAATATGTGATACAATTGTAGGATAAATATCACAGCAAATAGAAATATACTAGATATATACTAACTTGAATAAATCTCAAAGGTACAGCTCTGAGTGAAAAACCAAGTGACATAATAAGTACCTCATGATAACATTTATGGAAATATAAAACAAAAACACCAAAACAACATTATATTTTTGATGTGAATAATCAGATATGTACTCAAATGTTTAAAAAAATGAACCAGAAGAATTCATATCAAACTCATAAAAATTATTGTTTCTGGGAATGGGCAAAGCAAGGGAATGTGACTGAAGTGGCTATTAAAAGATGTTAACAGCGACTGTAACTTTTTAAAGATAGAAACTGTATATGTAATATTTGAAGTAAAAATTAATATTAAATATCAAACTATAGATCATTTTTGGGTAGATAAGGATAGCCCAAACCTATCCTTTGGGCCTTCTACTAGTACTACAATATTGTTAGAATTAGTAGCCACTCAACTTTATGAGCACCCAGAAAAAGATGAGAGGGATTCCAAGTTTGTAGCATCCAATAATATAAGACAGCTTCCACAACAAAAAGAACTAAATTAAGATACAATACTCTGATATTAAAAATATATAAACATTATGAATAAAAAATTAGGTTGAATCTATGAAATTACTTTTTTTTTAAATAAAAAAAGTAGGTGGACAACAACTTCATATAGTTCAATCTACACAAGATGAAAACATTCTCAAATTCCACTGAACTCAAAGAAAAGAAAGGTAATGTTGTACAAAGATATAGGTACCAGAGGTGAAAAGTCAAAAGCCAGGGTGTAAATTCATGAGCCCAATCTGAGGAGAGTAGCTGTTTTATCAGATAAAAATGTAGATATAAATGATATATAGATATAGAGTATACATACATAAATATATTACTAATATGGGAACAGAAGATGCAGCCATCCAGCCACATAAAGCAAGTTCTAGGTCTGATATCTTTGGAAAAATTAGGACCATAAGTGCTTCCTAAATGAAAGGACACTAGAAAATTATTTACACCCACCCAGGGAAATGACAAGAATATTAGATAAAAAAGAAAAGAAAAGGTCATATGAGAAATATAAGTGCTAGGCCTATACTATGCATACCGGTGGAGACTGTATTTACATTTGCCTGTAAAATATGCAAATACAAAATTAATATAAAAGCTTATTGTAAAAGAGCATTGAAGCAAAATATTACTCTGTGGCAATATTTCCTCATAACTTAGACAACTGTTTCACACACAATTTCTACTGAAGATGAGCATGTGATTGAAAATTATGAACGTGACAGAGGATGAGTAGGTAAAACAAGAGAATTAACACCTGAAGAAAACAATAAGAAACTAGAACTATTTTATTACAATAATT